TTAGTCCTACGTCCACTTCCCTCATCCTTGTACGAGGTCAACCAAGTACCCCCTACACCATAATCTTTGTCTGCCCTTTCTGGCCGTGGTGCTCGCCCTGTGTGGCCGCGCGCCGTACCCATGTAGACGGGGTTCGTAGCAGAGGCGTTGGCTTTGCGTCCGTGGCGCGCAAGTAGAGTGGCTGACGAGCACCTCCTCCGTGCTCGGTGACTGGCCGCCGAGGTGCTTGGGGTTTGCGGCCACGTGCGAGCGTCGTCGCAAGTCGTTGAACCTCGCAAGAAGGCAGATGATTGACGTGTGCGTGTGTGCAGGAATAGGAGGAGAAGGAGGGGAGGAAGTCGGCGGTAGGGGAGGAGGAGAGATGGGGAGGAGGGGAGGAGGAAGAGCAAGAAGAGTCGAGGAAGAGGAGGATAGAGTGCAGAAGGAGGAGAGGAGGAGAGGAGAGGGAGAGAAGATGTAGTGGACGACGGAAATGGTGCTTTGGGCTCGTCTTCATCGCACGTTGCAGCGTCAGCCTCGTCGTCGCATCGCGCTCTGAAATCTGCAAGAACTCGCAGATGAAGATCCTCGTCGTGGTGTGTGAGGAGAAGGAGGAGAGGGAAGGGGGAACGAGGGAAAGGAGGAGAGGAGGAGCAGGAGGTGTAGGTGAGAGGAGCGAACGTGACAGAGAAGAAGAGGAGAAAACAGGGAGGACGGTGCTTTTTGGAGAGGAGGGCAATTCGGTTCAACATCGGTTCAGAAGGCATACATTTTAGTTTGGTGGGTGTGACAGGAGGCAAATCGTGCACTATAATAAGGACGCAACACTTGTCCCGTATCATCGCGACCCTTCGGCTCGTGAGTGGTCCAATAATATCCCAGCAATACCTCACCTAGACTGGCCAGTCGCAGTATCTCAGCACACGCCCGAAGCCCCTGCCTATAACTGTTGCGCTGGGCGGTCGGCAGCTAGACTGCAGTAATCCTTCACTGTTTCATGCCCAGCCTTTGAATGGGCGTGGGTGCGCTGCCTCGCGCCGCACGTATCTAGTTCTGAACGAGGTCGCCTGAGGAGCACGAATGCTTCTCGCCCCACGTCGACACCCAAGCTGGTTGACGAAGGCGACTTAGCGGCCTCCTCAACCCCCTACGTCGCCGCGGTATCATGCTGATTCTGTCGTGAGGCACCCAATCGACTTTACGCGATCAACTGTATGAGGGAGCAGAAGAAATGTTAAGGAGAGATGGGGAGATGAGAGGGAGAGAGAGAGAGGAGAGAGAGAGAGAGAGAGAGAAGAGAGAGAGAAGAGAGAGAGCAGAGCGGGAGAGAAAGGAGAGAGACGAGGAGAGAGAGAACAGGAGAATATTGAGGGAGAGAGAAGAGAGATTATAATGTTGCTTATGGTCACAAGCGCAAGCAAAGAAACACGAGCGACAGTGACACGGATACAGGGATATCTAACACGGATAAGCGATATTACACGGATACAGCGATTTCTACTAGCGGAATACAGCGATATCTTACACGGATAGCAGGCGATATCTTCACAGCGGATACAGGGATATTCTACACGATACTGAGATATCTACACGGATACAGGGAATAATCTAAGGATACAGGAATATCTACAGCGAATAAGGCCAGGGAATAAATGCTTAGCACGGGGATAGACGCGATAATCTTACACGATACAGAGATATCTTACAACGGATAGCAGGGATAGTCTATCACGGATACACGGGATATCTATACGATATCAGGGATAGTACACGGATACAGGGATATCTTAACGGATAAGGGATATCTAGCAAGATCACAAGGGATAATCTAACACGGATAGCAGGGATATTCTACACGGGGATAGCAGCGATATCTACAAGGTTATAAGAGATATCTTAATACGGATACAGGATATCTACACGGATACAGGATATCTACACGGATACAGCGATATCTAGCACCGGATACAGGGATATCTACACGGCATACGGGATACTACACGGATACAGCGTAATCTGACACGGATACAGAGATATCTTATACGGATACAGGGATATCTACACGGATACAGGGATTATCTATACGGATACAGGGATATTCCTACACGGATACAGGGATATGCTGCACGGATACCAGGCGATATCTATATTCGGAAATACAGGGATATCTACACGGATTAACAGGGCATATCTATAACGGATACAGGGATATCTACGGATACGGGATATCTACACGGATACAGCGATTATCTAACACGATACAGGCGATTATCTACACAGATACAAGGGATATGCTTACACGGATACAGCGATATCTACACGGATACAGTAAAATAGCTACACGGATACAAAGCGGAATATCTTTACACGATACAGGGATATCTACACGGATACAGCGGATATCTAACCGGATACAGCGATAGCTACACGGATACAGGGATATCTACACGGATACCAGGGATATTGCTACTACGGATACAGGGATATCTCACGGATACAGGGATACTCTACACGGATACAGCGACTGATCTACACGGATACAGGGATTCTATCACGGATACAGGATATGCTACAGCGGATACAGGGAGTATCTAGCACGGATTGCAGGGATATCTAGTACGGAATACAGGGATATCTACAGCGGATACAGCGGGATATCTACACGGATATCAGAGGGAATATCTTACACGGATACAGCGATGATCTAACACGGATACAGGCGATATCTACACAGATACAGGGATATCCCCCCGCTACACGGATACAGCGATATCTACACGGATACAGTGATAGCTACACGGATACAGGGATATCTACACGGATAGCAGAATATCTGACACGGCTACAAAGATATGCTACACGCAGGATTACAGGGATATCTAGCACGGGATACAGCGATATCTACACTAGATACAACGATATCTACCACGGATACAAGGATATCTAACGGCTACAAAGATATCTACCACGGATACAGGGATAGTCTACACGATACAGGCGATATCTATCACGGATACAGTTTTAGATATCTACCACGGATACACGCGATATCTACCACGGATAGAGGGATTATCCTTTTACAGCGAATATCGGATATCTCATCAACGGATAAAGGGATTTATCTACACGGATACAGGCGATAGGCTTAGCAGCGGATAGAGGGATATCTACAAGGGATACAGGGATATGCTAACACGGATACAGGGATATGCGATAGCTACACGGATACAGGGATATCTACACGGATACAGCGATAGCTACACGGATACAGGGATATCTACACGGATACAAGGATATCTACACAGATACAGGGATAGCTACACGGATACAGGGATATCTACACGGATACAGGGATATCTACACGAATACAGCGACAGTGACACGGATACAGCGATATCTACACGGATACAGGGATATCTACACAGATACAGGGATAGCTACACGGATACAGGGATATCTACACGGATACAGCGATATCTACACAGATACAGGGATAGCTACACGGATACAGGGATATCTACACGGATACAGGGATATCTACACGGATACAGCGACAGTGACACGGATACAGGGATAGCTACACGGATACAGGGATATCTACACGGATACAGGGATATCTACACGGATACAGGGATAGCTACACGGATACAGGGATAGCTACACGGATACAGGGATATCTACACGGATGCAGCGATATCTACACGGATACAGCGATATCTACACGGATACTGGGATATATACACGGATACAGGGATATCTACACGGATACAGGGATATCTACACGGATACAGGGATATCTACACGGATACAGGGATATCTACACGGATACAGGATATCTACAGCGGATAGCAGGGATATCGTACACGGATCAAGCGACAGGTGACAACGGATAGGCTGCGACACCCGTGACACGGATACAAGGTATCTACACGGATATACAGTAGATATGGCTATTACACGGCAAACAGGGAATATCTACACGGATACGGGATATCTATACGGATACAGGGATATGCTAACGACGGATACAGGCGATATCTACACGGATACAGGGATATCTAGCACGGATAACAGGGATAATCCTACAGCGGATACTAGGGATATCCTACACGGATACTAGGGATATGCTTACAGGATAGCAGGGATATCTACACAGGATAACAGGGATATCTACACGATACCAGGATAT